GCCCTAAACATACTCTTCCTGTCCAGACCATCTCTAGAGGCAGGTCAGGGATCAGCAATTACATCACCCACCAGGAGGAGCCCACTAAAACCACGTCCTTTGTTAGCCATTTGAAACCCAATAGGGAGAACAGATTCAAAGAATGTCTTCCGATAGAAGAAGGAGGAGGATTACAAAGGGGTGGTTGGCAACACTTCTGTCCTTTTTTCTTGGTGAGAATTTTTTTTTTTTGATTTAGACATCATTGTTCATTTTCAAACAATATTTGTTCCCTGTTTTCAGGTGTAGTCCCCATAGAATTTCCTTCACCAATTATGCTCAGTGAAATAAGCCAGAAGGAAAAAAGAAAAATATAGGATGGTTTCACTTATAGCAGGGATATAGGGGAACCAAATATGACATCAGTGTAAAAAAATAACAACAGTACAAAATGGAAAAAAGAAACATACAACTATTAATCAGAGACATCCTTCAGGGAAGGAGGAAGGAGCACAGGGGACTGGGGTGAGGGTGCACTTGTCTTTTTTAACAGCTGTACTAACAGGCCTTTGTCCTGGTTTTACATTCCCAGTTTTAAAAGTGCACAACTCGTTTACTTCACAATTTGTTTTAAAGCACTTGCATTGTGGCAAACACTTTTCCAGGCTTTTAGCATAAAACATTGAAGAAAAGGGAACAGCAGTCTCTGCCCGTTGGCTGAGAAAGAAACACTCAAGGCAGATACTCAAATGCACATGTTAGGAAGTGATATCTGTCAAGGAGAAACCTACCAATCACCGTGGAACCCAGCAAGGTCATGTGAGCCCTCTGCACCACACAGGGAGCTGCATGCTTGTGCGCATGCTAATGGGAAGGCGGGTGCAATGTGTAAGGGTCTGAGAAACATGTGTTCTATGTATGTGTGTTAACATGCAGTGACTTGCAATTTGAAAAAGTGGGTAAAACGAAGTACACTACTATGACATTATTAATCATGATTATTCTCTTTTCGAAAAACTTAGTATAAACATCAATCTTGGGGTATTTAAAAGAAACTGATTTTGAATTAAAATTCAAACGACTCTTAATTATCTTAACAGTTTTTTTTAGATTTGAAATTTCACTGTAAGGTTTTTAGCTTTTCCCAAGTAAAAAAGCCATAAAGTGAACTGACATTCTAGGGGATTTCATAAGAAAAAGCCCACATCTCATTTCACTGTAACAAAGGCCATCACTCACTGGGGACTCCAGCCACACCCTCCAGATCTTCAGCAAAGCTGGCTGTGCTGAAGCAAAATCCCAAATGCAGGAACCATTCAATTTCTCTATGGAGGCGACCCTTTTGAAAGGCAACAGAGGAAAAGGAATTCCATAATATGACACAACCAAATGCAACCAAAGGGAAATTGTTCCTCCAACTCAAAGTCTGTTCCCTAAGCATTTATGGAGAATCAGTTTATCAGACACTACAAACACATGGAGGCGGGCTTACTTCAGGGAATCGCACAACTATATCAGCAACAGCAAAATAGAGTCAAGGAGCATGTGCCTACGCTTGGCGTGAAAGCATGTGACGGACAATGTTTTGTACAGCTTTGTCCAACATCCAGGGGTTTTCTTAAAGAAATATGAATGATTCCACTTTTTTCCTCCTCTGTTGCTGTGGTGTTCCAATAAAATGATTCTCATCCTCTCAAAGGTTTAGGTTGAGTTAACCCATGTGACTATCAAATCATCCAAATAATAACTATCACTACTGAGATGATGAGTAAAATCATCAAGATAAGGATTTTAAAATACCCTGAGTGGAAAGAAAATTAATATATTTCTATTTTTTTCTCTCCAAGACAATAGCAACAACAACAACAATAAAAACAACTATAATCCAGGTGTTAAACTAATGCACAATTCATCCATAACATCCTAAAGCCAACTAAATCTTGAGCCAAGAATCAATTGTAGGCCATGAAAAGCTGTAAAGATTTATTTTTTGTCGTTTATTGAAGAAACAGATATTTGCATGAATGCAAGACGTTCTTAGTAAGTACGCACAATTTTTAAAGAGATGTTACCAGTAGCGGTGACAGTCATTCTCTCTCTTTCTCTCTCATAGGATGGAGAGAGGTGGAGAGGCAGAGAGATTGCAAACTAGATTCCCGAATTTACTAATACATCAAGGTTTTATTTTCTGTTTTTTTTTTTTTGCCTTTTTACTGAATTATTTCTTCTTAAGACATATTTTATTCTCTGAGATGGGCAACTGATGAAATCATACAAATACATGAACAAACCTGGCCCCTCTCCCTCATTTTCTATCTTCTCCCCATATTAATTGTCTCTCTAATGCAGTCTTTCAAAATGTTATTCAAATAACAGGCTACCAGATAATATTCCCTGTAAAAGTGCACCTGCATCCTTCATCTTCTCTGATAGAAATTCTGTGTGAGCAAACGCCTTAGCTAGGAGGCCAAGAGTCAAAGAGGAGGCAAAATATTACGATTTTTTCTGATTTTTGAACAAGAAATACCATCCATTTCCTACATTATTTGTGCTGTTAAAGTGAAGGTCATATCACTACTGGAAGATAAAATAACTTTAAAAGCAGGGCCTCCCCTGGTGGCACAGCGGCCTCCCCTGGTGGCAAAGCTGCCCGCAGCCTCTGCAGCACCGGTTCCATCCCAGGTATGAAACTGGCCAAAAAGAAAGGGGATAAAAAGGGCATTGGAGGGAAAGCAATTTGGATAATAAGGTTCTCTAACCCTTTCTGAAACACTTCGTTACTTTAGTTCAGTATGCCTAGCCACAGAAGCAAAAAAAATGACATACGTAACATCAGATAGGGTTTGAGAGATTTCTATTCTACCCTCATTTGTCAAAGTGAAAAATGAAGCCCTTCAGTGTTCACATAATGTCACATAAATGGAAGCATTAATTTCAAAATCCTGATCTCACATGTAGTTTATTCTCCAACAGTCTGAAATTAATTTGAAAAAATAACCCACAAATTTCAATTAAAGACACTTGTGCAATGATTTATCAACAACACAAGTGATCTCTCATTGCCACAGTGGGTTTCTGCAAAAACAGAAACCAACTACTGGCTAGAACACTTTCAGATTATATCCATGACCTATGTTTTTATACTAGCTCACTTTAAAAAACATCTATTTCCATTTTAGTGGAATTATTTATTCTCATCTTATACAGAAAGATAAGTATCAAGGTTTATTTTCCATAGCATATTATAAATAATGTTTATTTTGCTAGAAAAATAAGATTTTTTTCACAAATGCCATTCCTTCTTGAAAGAGGTATTAAAGGTGTTCAACGACTGCAGTGAGCATCTGACAACTCACTACTAAGTATGGAAGAAAAGTTTGGAACAGATTAGATCCACATACCTTTGAGGGAGGGGAAAGAAGAAAAAGAAATCACTTAAAAGACTGTGGTGTGGTGGAAGCACCTCAATCAAATCAACACTGTACTTCGAGTTCATCTTCAAAAGTCCTCTCGCAGAGCCTTCCTAGGCAGTGATCCACCCAATACATTTAGAAAAAGTGCCCTGCCATTTATTGGGTTGAATCACATGAAATGATTTCATCTTGACTTCAGATTTAGCAATAAGATATGCCTTAACCGAAATGAGAGTCACATCTCAAGAAACAAAGAAAGGTCACAAGGCAATGGAGTTCTTATTGAGATAATACCAGTATTTACCTTTTAAACCGTCAAAACGAATGGTGATCATTCTATCTAGCCCTTCTTTGTCCCTCCTACCCTCCTCTGCCCCCCCACACCCTCTACTTTCCCTAACCCAGTGTCCCATGACTGCAATCCTTGTTGAACACAAATCCTTCACTCCGGTGCAAAGGACATTAAAGAAGAAAAAATATGAAAATAGATTACCATACTTAAAAAATATATAAAACTTCAGAACATATTAGAGATTAAGATTTCAAAACCTTAAGTCTCTAAAAATCCTTAACTAGGAAGCGATTAAGAAAGTGACTTGACATATAAGCGTATCAGGAGCGAAAACAGGAAATATGGTGAGGATAAATTCACCCGGGGAACTGCTCCACAGACCTGGACGAAATCAGGATGCTCTTCCTACACCGCGAGCTCCATGTCTCCGCCACACACTCAAGTCTAACTATTGTCAGTATCACTCCCCTCGCGCCTAGAAAGAAAAAACAACACTCTGTTATCTTCTGTGCTGCGGCAGAATGGAACCATCATTTGTCAAGGTGGCTCACAGCTTCAGCAAAACTATGTCAGAGCACAGGGAGTGAGTCAAGCAGCTGGAAGACCAAAGAGATCTTTCAGGGCTGACTCATGAAACACGACAGCAGCAGCCGGGGCGGGCGTTGCAGCGCGGCCAGGACGGCGACCTGCGGCATCACGAGACTTCCCTGCGCGTCACGTCCTTAGAGAAAGTCCAACCTGAATCCCGAAGTGATAAAGTCCCGACTCCAGCTCGCCGGGGCACGAGCGGCCTGAGCCCAGGGCCGCGGCCTCGCCCAGGCGAGCCTCGGGACCAGCGCGGCCCGGGCGCCCAGGCCTCGCGCGGCGGGCGGCAGCCGCGGGGCGCTCTCGCCACGACGGGGGGAGCAAGACCCACCACTCGGGCCGGCGCAGGCCGGCGGGGGCTGCGGGCGCGGGGCGGGCAGGGCGGGCAGCGATGCCGCGGGAGCCGGGGCCGCCGGGCCGCGAGGCGGAGGGGCCCATGGCGCACAAGCGGGGACCCTGCGCGGCCACTCGGGGCGCGTTGTTGACGGTTCCCGGCTGGCCCGGGAGACGCTGCCACGGCGGCCCCGTCCGCCGCCCCCGTGACGACCGCGGGGCCGCCTCACCTGGACTTGCCGACGCCGCTCTCGCCGATGATGAGGACCTTCAGGGCGGGCAGCACGTCCTCGTCCATCCTGACGCTGCTCCACTCCAGCCCAGCTGGCCGCCCGGGTCCAGCTCTCACCCCTTCACCCCGAGAACTGCCCGCGCATGCGCACCGCTCAGCGCTGCCACCACCTTTTCACACCGGGTGTGTCGGTCCCTGGAGCCGCAACAACACAGTTCCGCCTGGAGGTTGCTTGGCGTCTGCGCCAGCCCAGAGTTCCAGGCATCTTCCACAAGCGGTTAGTTCTCTTGTGCACAACCGCAGACCTGGAGGTTGGAAGTGCGTGACCTCACCCGCCTGCGCATTTCCTCCTTCCGGCCCTGGCATCCATAGGCCTCGGTTGTGCAGTGGGCAAAGGGGCAGAGTTAGGGGAGTGTAACGTTTTTTTTTTTGTTTAGTTGCTGCTCATAACAGCTGTGCGGCGTCGGGAAGCACTGTGCGGAAAGGCAAATTACGGTAAAAGTAGGTCCCAACTCTACCACATGGCCAGCTAATTTATCTCGCCTTCTGAACCTGTTAGCTCAGCTGAGCAATGGAGGCCATCGTATGTCTTAGAATAATACCAGCTTCTTGGATTGCTATGAAGAGTAAGTGAGATCGTTTATGAACACACTTTGTAAACACAAGTAAACCATTTAAGTGTGACCAGGTATGAATTTCCTGATTTACCCTCCTTTAATGAAGAATTCCCTTCCTACATCTGTACCGCTTGAAAGGGAATTGTAGACTCTATAGATCCGGTGCATAAAAACTTAATGGTGGTGCAATTTCAAACCAGCTATTTCTGTTCATGAAAACTACACAACTAGAGGAATCGTGTACATGTGCTTGCTTTCCTTCACTAAGTTGTAAATCTTATTGAACGTCCCAAATCTCATATGGAAATGAAAGCTAATGGAATGCTTGGTACTTAGCAGACACTGAACAGTTCTTTCATCTTCTTACACTTGCAGCTAATGCCAGATATAATAGATTTGATTACATAAGGAAAAAGGGGAAAATTAAAGATTTTTTTTTAATCTGGGAAAGCTCTTTTGACATATATCCCATTGGTTCCTTCACTTCGTTTGGTCTTTACTCAATGCCTTCCTAAGGAGGCCTGCCTTTGTCCTGTGCACTGCCTTCCAGTCTTCCCTATACCTCTTCACATTTTCTGCACAGAATTTGCCATCCTTACATATACATGATAAATAAATTCTGCTTTATATTCATATATATTTTACTAGTTTATTTGTTCACTGTCTAATCTTCCCCAAAGAGAACAGAAAGAGCCCTGGTGTCTAGTTCCTGGCATATAATGTAAAATTATACTAGATGTTTGATGAGTGAACTGAATGAAAATTCTGGACGCCTTCCCAACTTTGAAAAGTGATATCTTTGAATTCTCAAGATTTTATCAGAAATCTTAGATTTTATCAGAAACTTATCTAATAGTTGACATAATAAGTTTTGTCATTTCTAAAATGCCAAATTTGAAACAGTCTACAAACTCAATATGCCACTACTTGCCATAGAATCGTGTTCAATTTGGCCATACTCTCTTGGGAAGGTCTTACTGTTGTCAAAATGATTTTATTCCAAGCCAAAAATATGGATGTTCAAATGTGTTGAATCCCTGAGCTAAACAAACACAACATAGACATACTGATAACATGACAGGGAGGGTGAGATATCAAAAGAATCTACAAAAGCACTAGCAGGAAAATCAGTTACATATATTCAAGTCCAAACAAGGCAAGTATCAGGACTATACTCAGCACCTGTGCCAACAGAAATTTCCTGCTCCTTTTCCTCTTTGTGCCTGCTCCAACCCAGGAAGTATTTTTGCAATATGGAAAGGAGGAAGGCATACTAGACAAATACTATGAGCAAAACTATCTTAAATAAGCTCAGAATGCTAAAGGAGAACACTGACAGGGAACACAATATATGAATGCTATAATAATATACATAGAAAACTTAGGAGGAACAAAACAAATTCTAGAGCTGAAAAGCTAAAAAAACAACCAACAAACACGCACACAATACAAACAAGTGAAACGTAGAGATGCTGACCAGATTTAGCATTGTGCTGGAATTGTTCCCCAGAGTAATTAGTCAAGGAAAAGAATAAAAAGAAACCAAGGAATAGAATAAAAAGAAACCAAGCTGTAAAGGAAGAAATGTAAAAGTATCCTGTTTCACAGGGTACATAATCAAAGATATGAAAATTCCAACATATCCACAAGAAAACTACTAGTTACAAAAAATTCAACAAAGCTACAAGATACAAGAACAACTTACAAAAATCAGCTGTGTTTCTATTTATGTGCAAAAAGGAATTGCAAAAGGAAATTAAGAGAGCAATTCTATTTAAATACCATGTATAAGAAGAAAATACTTAGGAGTACATTTGACCAAGAGGTAAAAGATGTGTACACTGAAAATTATAAACACTGGTGAAAGAAACTAAAGAAAACCTAATTTAATAGAAAGACATCCTTAGTTGATGTGAAGGATTAGTATTGTTAAAATATTAATCACCTAGCAATCTACTGATTCAACACAATTTCTATTGAAATTGCAATTTCCTTTTTTCTTTTTCAGAAATGGAAGAGCCAACCCTCAAATTCACTTGAAATTGCAAGGAGCTCAGGCTATCCAAAGCAATCTCGAAATAGAAGAAAAAGTTGCAAGACTGAGATTTCCAGATTTCAAAACTTACAAAGAGGTACTGTAATGAAAACAATGTGGTACTAGCATGCAAATAACATACAGACTGACAGACTAGAATTGGGAGTCCAGAAATAATCCATAAATATAGCCAGTTGATTGACAAGTGTTGTAAGTCTAGCAAACTGGAAAGTTCTCTTCAATAAATGTTTTTTTTTGAAAACTGGACCTTCACGTACACAAGGATGATGCTGGGACCTTACTAAATACCATAAACGAACTGAAACAGACATTGATCAATAATCTAAATAAAACAGTTAAAACAATAAAACTTGGAAACACAGGGTTAATGTGCATGACCTTGAACTTGTTAATGGACATTTAGATATAATACCAAAAATACAAGTACCAAAAAAAAAAAATTAGATATGTTGGATTTCATCAAAAAATAATAAAAAAAAATGTTAATCATTACAGGCCATTGTCAAGAAAGTGAAGAGACATGGCCTCCACAGTGTCGCAGAGGTTGAGTGCTGGGTTGCAAAGCTGGCCGCAGCCTCGGCAGCACCGGTTCAATCCCCAGATGCTCCCTGGCCACTGGAGCAGGGTCCCGCATGGCGCACAGACCTCTCCTGCCACCCGCTGCTCCCCTCAGCAGTGTACTTCGGTCCTTCTGCCTGCTCTACTCCCTGTTCTGGCTCTAGTGAATTCTCTTACCGTCCCGCACTTCTGACTGTACCCACTGCTTGTATAAATAAATAAATAAATAAATAAATAAATAAATAGATAGATAGATAGATAGATAAATAAATAAATAAATCAAAGAAAGTGAAACAGTCTATATCGAGGGAGAAAAAAATCAGCTAGTCATATAGCTGGTAAGGGTCTTAATAACTGAAATATGCAAAGTGCTAATGAAAAATGCGAGAGAACAGCAAAAGGTCAATCAACCCAATTATAAGAAGGGCAAAGGACTTGGATAGACATTTCTCCAAAGAGGATATACAAGAGACCGATAAACAGTTGAAAAGACAATCAACGTGATCAGATATTTACAGAAATGTGAATCATCACCACAATGAGATACCACTTGACACCAACTAAGAGAGGTAAAATCGATAAAAGGGAAAATAATTGAGTATTGGTTTATAGGGAGACTTGGAAAAACTGGAACCCCTATCTACTGCTGGTGGGATCGAAAATGGTTTAGACTCTGGAATACAATGTGATAGTTCTTCAAATAGCTGACTATGGAATTCTCATGCAACCCACCAATTCCACTTGTAAATGATTCTCTTAACATGAGCACACCAAGCTCCTTGCAATGTTACGATTGTCAATAGAAGGAAAGACTCCATGCCCACAAAAGACCGTGGGTAACCAATTTGTGGAGCACACATACAATGGAGCACAGAGCCATCGAGTGGAATGAAGCTGTCACATGTGCACAAGGAAAAACCCTGGAAACATTATGATAAGTGAAATAAGTCAGTCACAAAAAATGTATGATTCCATTGACATAAAAATCTAAGAAAGTCATATTCATAGAAAGAATAGAGTCAAGGTTTATCAGGACTGGAGGAGAGAAGAGCAGCAGCAGCCACTGCTCACTGGTCACAGAGTTCCTCCTTCAGGTTATGAAAGATACTGGAAACAGTCACGACAGTACGCAGCCGTGGGGATGTGGCGGATGCCACAGAACTGTACACTTAAAGTGGTTAGAATGGCACGTGTTATGTTAAATATCTTACAACAAATATTTTTAAGTTTAAAAAGTAAAACATTTTTTTTTTATCTGTGGCATGATACAATTGCAGATAATATGATCAGAAAGTATGCCATGTAAAAGAAAGGGACCACTGTCCTAGCACTCGCCTCAAATTCCAGTTTCCTAGAGAGTGATGTAAAGTAGACCACCTGTCGTAAAAATACACGCAGGTAAATAACTTTTCATTCCAATATTTGTGTATGAGTGACAAGATGTATCAAAATATTATAGCTTATTGATTGAAACATGTTACAGTTAGGTAAAAGATTAAAATAGTGTGAATTATGATTTTAGAATAAAGGAATAAAAAATATCCCCCACCAATCCATGCCATGCTTTCTAAGATTTCTTTCAAAAATCCAATGTTTGGGCCTCCCTTGGTGGCGCAGCGGTTGAATGGTGGGCTGTGAAGCTGTCAGCAGCCTCTGCAGCGCTGGTTAGATCCCAGGCCACCAGTGAGGTTCCCACCTGACGCAACAGACCTCTCCTGCCACACCCACTGCTCCCCTCAGCAGTGTATTTCATCATTCTGCCTGTTCTCTTACCCGCTCTGGCTCTGGTGAATTCTCTGACCCTCCCGGCATCTGACTGTGCCCAGTGCTTGTATAAATAAATAAATATATCTTTTGTTAAAAAAAAATAAGCCAGTGCTTAACATTCATGAGTATATAAATTCTCAATTTTCTCTAATATTGTGTAATCATTAATAACTGTCAAAATTTTGGCTTTTTTAAATGACGAGTAGGTTGCTATCTTTTGCTATATAAATGCAAAGTATAATTTCAGCAAGGCCTGGTATTCAAAACCTTTTCCCAGCAGGTGTTTCTCACCAGGCCTGGACACAAGTATTAGCAGGTTTGCTCTTCATCTGAGGTGCCTGGCAGGATGCTAGAAAATACTTGAGAAATCTGAGCTAGTTGTGTTTATCAAAAACACTAGGGAACATCAGCTTAGGTTTTTTTTTTTTTTTTCCAGTGACACCAAGCAAGTTTTCAGGAGCTCCAGAAACAGCAGAGACGTGTAGTGAGAGCATTCTGACTAGAAAAACGAAAGGAACCCTGAAGATCAATGTCAGCCCTGAACACACCCACCCCTGGGGTGTAGAATGAGTGTTTTCCACTAGAATGCGACCCAGTATCTAGGCTGGCGGCTTCCCTTGGTTTCCCTTGATGAAAGCTGGCTTAAGCATCAAAGAGAGTGGAGCAGACCTGGTTTTAAGTCAAGGCCTCCGCCAAGTAGCCAGGCGTGCACACATCCCTGGAAAGGTCTTATCCCTCCCACCTTCTCCTCCCTCTAAACCCAGCCCCAGGCACCTGGATGTTCTTCAAGGCCAGTCACTTTTCAATGGCGTGAATTTGGTCCAGGAACTCGAGCAGCCACTTCTGGCTGTGTGCACTGTCCTTGGGTTCTGTGGTCTTCAGGTAGTACTGCAGCCACACAGCCTTGGCTTGCAGGAGTAACTGGCTAATCCCCGAGCCGGGACCTAGGATGGTTCCTCCCAAGAGGCCGGCCCAGTAGCGGGGCGCATTGGAGGTGTTGCAAATAGGGAAGGTGATGCTTTTCAGGTCCATGTTGTTATTCTTCTGCCAGATGAACGGGAGTGGGTTGGAGGGTATGCAGGTGCTCTTGTACCTGGCACACACCTGAGGGTAGAAGACCTGGGTTCCGTCTCCCCAGGGAACTGTCAGTGTCTGCCCCGCCTCGTCCAGTTGACTCATTTCTGAGATGACTTGATCCAGCAGATTGGCAGTGTTGGAGACCACCAATATACAGGTGAAGTTGACCTCGGCGCTGGACCGAAATGGGGAGAAGAGGTGTGACTCATTGGTGAAGAAATGTGCCTGCACAAAGCGCCACTCGGCTTTGGCTGGGCTGCCCGAAGGGGTGTCCTGCTCCTCCAGGCTCTCTTCAGTCTCGCTGCGCAGGTAAATCCACCCGGTCCCCAGGAAAGCCGTCAGCACCAGGGGCGCCATCAGGAAGAGCCAAGCGTGTGAGCCCACAGCCAGCCCCATCCTCTGGAATCCCCGGGTGAGGGGCTGCTCCAGGCAGTTGGTGTGGCAGCGGGGCCTCCCAGGGGGTGGCTGCTGCACCTGGGCTTCCGGGAGCGGTGAATCCCCTCTCTCAGATGGCTGGCAGGGTGGGTCTGAGGAAGGCCCCGAAGCCCTGCTAACATTGGGCAACTGTCCCTCACTGGACACCAGGACCTACTCTAGCTGCCATGTGGAGGCAGGGAGCTGCTGGGGCCCAGATGCCACCCCATGATCTGCTCTGCTCTCAGACTCTGGCTCGGGCCAGTCCTCCTGCTCTGGCCTCTGAAGCCTCCCCTTGCTCAAACCCCCCTTGGGGTGCAACCTTGGAGGAATGGACGCCCATTTCCTGAAGGACCGACCAGTTGTTGAATAGGAGACCTGGAAAGCAATGACTGGTTGGCAAGCTCAGTGCCCCCCACCCCACCCCCAGCAGCTTCCAGGAGGAGTCCACAGGGAGGATGTGCCAATGGTCTCCGCTCCTGCAAACTTTGACCTCTGCTGTGCATGCTGGGATGTGGTGGCGGAGCGAGGGGGGTACTTTTCTGGAGATCCGGGTCTTTCCAGCTGGCCTAGTGGGGGGAAGTGGTTTCCAGGCGGGTCTACGCTCCTGCCATTAGGATTCCCCTTCCATAGAGGCCTGCATTTGCTACACTGTTATCAGTCGTGGGGTTCCCTCCTGTGGCCTGATGGGAGTGTTGATATATCCGGGGAGAGAAGCAGAGGCTGGGACAGAAAGGGAGAAGGAAGTCAGAGAAGCCCAGAGTGAAGACCTGCTGGGGGCTTTTCATTTAATTTATTTATTTTTTTAGATTTGTTTATTTTTATTCAAGAACTGGGGTAAAGGCCAGATGTGCGGCAGGTTGAGAGGATTCACTAGAGACAGAGCGGGGAGTGGAACAGGCAGATTGACTGAAATACACTGCTGAGGGGAGCAGCGGGTGAGACAGGAGACGTCTGCCGCGTCATGTGGGACCCTCGCCTGTGGCCGGGGCCGCAGAAAGCTCCACAGTGCAGCGCTCAACCTGCTGCTCCACTGGGGAGGCCCCACTTTTCATTTTAAAAGTGAAGAGAAATCGAAATACTAATGAAATGTTAGTTATGAAAATTGAATAGTTAGATTACAATCAAGAAAAGTGGATATTCAGAAGAATAAAAAATATTGCAGATAAAGAGGTGACCACATAGTGACAAAGAGTTTGATTTATGGGACAATCCTAAAATGTGAGGTGATTATAGTCTCAAAATGTTTTTAAAATTACAGAACAGAAGAAAATAATGAAAATTACAATGGATGTGCATAAATTAGAGACTTGATCAATAGAGAAAATCATTGCAATCAAATGACTAAAATAAGAAATGAAAGATTACCATGGATCATTCGGAAATTTAAACAATTGTAAGAAATTATTCTGAAAAATGACATGCCAACAAATTGTGCACAGTGGAAACAGGCAAAAATCTTGGAATAGCAATGGTACCAAGGCCAAATGGACAGACCTCTCTCTAGTAAGGGAATGACTCAGTCAAAGAAAAGCCTCTTTGAGCATGCTTTTAACTGGGCTTTGGAAAGGCGGGTGATGAACAGTTCCTATTATAAGGATATTAGCCTGGCGTTTTCCCAT